TACCGCGAGTATGCGCTAATGATCCTAGCCACTATTCACACCCTTTCACCCCTCAAGGAAATCATCCTTTCAGCTGGCTCCGTTGGGACGCCGCACATCCTACTCAACTCCGGTATTGGAGACGCCACCGAACTCAGCACGGTGGGCGTTACCCCTACCGTGCACCTTCCCGACGTTGGAAAGAACCTCACTGACCACCCTCGATGGGGTGCCGCCTGGTTTGTCAACGATACTAACACAATTGAGAATGTCTACTGGCGGAACGCCACATTTCAAGCCGAGGCACTAGCTGAGTGGCAAGCTAATCGGACCGGGTTCATCGCTACCACAAGTGCCAGCCATTTGGGTTTCTTCAGGGTCGAAGAGGGTGTCTTGGAGGAGGAACCATGCTCGGGGGAGAATACGGGACATTATGAAATGATTTTTTCGGTGGGTCTAGGGTTCCTTCCATGGTATTTTATTATGTGCTGATTGTGTACCATAAGGGTGGGATTGCCTCCGGCACGATCCCCGCGACGGGGAGCTACCTCACAATAGGAATCATACTAATCTGTCCGCTCTCTCGTACGTCCATCTCCTCCTTCCCTTCCCTATCCAACTTCAACTTCTTTCTAGGAGGGAATATTACCATCAACGGCACCGATCCTCTCTCACCCCCACTCGTTAACCCGAACTTTTTATCGCACCCACAAGACATGACCGTCATGCAGCACGGCCTAGCGGGTGCACAGCGGTTCCTCACTGCGCCTGTATGGGATGACTACGTCCTCGGAATATCAACGAATATCACCGATCTGGAGGGGAGCATAAGGAATGCAGCGGGCTCGACGTATCATCCTGTTAGTACGGCAAGTATGTCTGCCCGCGATGCGGACTGGGGAGTCGTGGACCCGGATTTGAAACTCAAGAAGGTGGTGGGAGTGAGGGTTGTTGATGCATCTGTTTTGGTGAGTTGAGACTGATTTGACGGGATTTTTGCTGATTTCTATTTGACATTGTAGCCGTACGTACCGGCGGGGCATACACAGGCGGCGGTATACGCCATCGCAGAGAGGGCGGCGGACTTGATTAAAGAGTCACGCTGAGGCCAAGTTACATTCTTACTTCTCTTGGTTTCGGGCTCTTCATAAACGTGACCGAGGCGAACAAAGAAATTTGCTGTGGCTCGACCATCGAAAATATACGATGATATAATAACGAAGGAAAGGGAGTGAAAGACTGCTGATAGAAAAGATTTCGAAACCAGTGAGGTAACTGCGTGGCAGGACTTCCCGATGACCGGGCTGGCGAAGCTTTTGTCGAGTGCCGCTGCGCTAATAATTTTCGAGTCCGGATGAGAACATACGCCATGAAAACCGACGCACGCAATCAACAATAGATTCACAGTTAGGTCTAACCTAATTTCATATCTGCGTCGCCTCACAAGGACCAGAAAAAGGATTCCGCGAAAGTTCTCGAGCAGAAACCCTCAATGCAATTTGCATGTATTACCTTTCATTTCTGGGATTCGAGATCGGAGACGACGGAAAACTTTGCTGTGGACCAAGTCATATCCCCCTCATAATTATATCCACATCCTTTGATGAGCTGCTCTCCCGTCACGACCCGATGTCACTGAATAATGCCACGGCATCAGTAGCTGTCGTCTGACTGGGTTTCCAGTGTATGTGGTATATGGACAAGCTCGAAATTGAAATCCTACGAAGCAACCAATCCTAGCTTCGTTATTGTACGCTGCCCATCTGGGATAATCCAATATACGATGGTCCCAGCCCCCTCTCGCGCCTTGGCTAAGATCTCCGGATCGATATCTTCGACACACTTTTCCGAAGACTCGATGTCAACGTCTGGTTCAACATTAACAGCACGGTGATCCAGTATCCAGACCAAGGGCCAAAGGGGATCAGGCTCTCCATTCTCCGCAATATATTCACCCAACACATCACGTTCCCAATCCGGATCGGGACTAGGCCCCTTGTGCTTGTGATACTCCACGTATCTGTTGTTGAGGTCCTCGATCGCTCTCCGATCACTCAAAGACATGGGTAAGGAGCTACTATCTAAGATTTCGCTGAGAAAAAAACACCAAGGGAAAAGAAAAATCGACGGACCGATTACGAGTTGTTTGATCTCAGTGCAGAGGGAGCGGTGGTTACCAGATGACCAATCGTCTCTTTGGCATGTCTGCGAGCAATACAACGTGAATAGGCACCTGGAGCAAACCATGCACTTTCTAGCTGTCGTTCCAGGACACTATAATGGAGCTTAAAAAGGACTTCTAGCATCGACACGGGGCCTACATACCTGCGCGTTGCCACAAAATGAATCAGATAGAGGCCCGTAGACATCAGATTTGTACGAAGCGATGTTTACAAACTTAGTCCAAGCTGCACAAACCCCCGTCCGACGGACAGTTTTGGGATCAAGGAACTCATCAATGTGCTGTCGTTGTACTTTGAAGATGGCCTTTTGGGTTCGCTTCAGTATCGAAGGGTAGGAAAAATGGGATATGAGCATTTCAAGGATCTTCACGGTAATGATTCTCCATGGAGGTCCGGAGTACTTTCAACTCCCGGTCCATGAGCTCAGGATGAGCATGCAGGTTGCGGCACGCCTTGAGTAGATAGCGGAGGATGTCGCATCCCAGGAGTTGACGGATGTACGAATGTCCATCCTCCATGACTCTGATGATGTAAAGCAAACATTTAGATGCACAATCCGTGGCTACGCGCAGTACCACATAGGTGAATCGCGCGCCCTGAGTGGCGAATCGTAGAACACGAGACATCCATTGGATGCTGTTGTTTTTCAGTAGAGCGGTGTGGATGGGTAAGGATCGACTAGCGAGCTGGAGCGTAGAGGATGCGACAGTCGAAAAACATTGATAAATCGGAAGTTTCATGTCGGATTCCTCCGGGACATGGGCAAACACGTCCACAATGAATTGGACAATGAGGTTAGCGGTGAGTGTACTGTTTTCCGCGAGTCGACGAACGAGAATGTCTCTCAACGACGTTGAATTACATCCGAGAAGCGCATGATCAACCGCAGTGAATACTGCTTGGGCATCATCAAGGCTGTATTTCGTATAGCCAGCGGGAGGGTGAAACCACAGAAATGGAAGATAATCTGTAAGGACTTTCGGTTGCAGCTTATTTTGGTTCGTTACCCATGCCAGGATGAGTACCACGGCTTTGTGGAAATCGAATTCGAATTCAAGTGTTCGGGATGGTAAGATGATGTGCTCGCAGAAGAGGGATACCCAGAATGGTATGGCGGGCATAAGGGGGAGCATAGAGGAAGCGGTGTCTGCGATGCACACAGGCTGAAGGAGGTACTTGTATCGGATGCCTGTAGCCAGTGCGAGCATCGAGGTGCAGCTAAGGTTGAGTGCATCTTTGGGATCGAGTGAAGGCATCAGTGGAAGACGCCCTCGCTTCAGATCCTGGATAGAGGTCGTGTTGAACTTGAGATTCTCTTCCATGACACGAAAGAAAGCTTCATGGGCCCTTCGGTTTTTGCCAGCTTGTGAGGCAAGCGCCATCATTGCCTCAAATGATCCATCCCTGGCCGATTTCTGCGCAAATGGATCAGTATGAAAAGTTCCGTCAAGATGTAAAACTGTACTCGCGATGAGCTTCTCCATCTAACTTTATGATCCTTGGTTTTGACGACAGTGTGGTACTTCTACAGAAGATAGAATATCCTTCTGTGAAAACGCGACATATCCATTGAGTGATGAAACGACGCGAAGCGAAAAAGTAGCATTTACGTCCACAAAATAGGATCCGAACACACTGAGCCAGCCAGATGTGTCTTGAGTACTTGAAAACGGGCTTAGAAACTTGAAAAAATAGTGCTGGTAGGCCGGTCGCTACGCAAGCAAATGAAGACGCATCGGAGCGGGAGCGTGAGAACAAATCCGCAAATTCAGCGGCAAACGTCTCGAGCGGCTGAAAATTTTCTTCGGCATCTCTCTCTTATTTGTAAACACCGAGGCGACGGGCCACAACTGACGAAGATCGCCAGCCTCCGTTGGCGTTTCGCGTTGAACCAGTGACAGTTCAGAACCACATGGCACGCCATGTCAGGGCCGTGGGCCCGGCCGTTCCTTATTGGGACTTGTGCTGCTACCACCACCACCACCACCTTCGACGATTCATTTTTAAGTACACTTGTCGTTCTTGGAAAACTTATTGGAATGTCTTTTGCTATGAGAAACGACTCTTTCCCTCATCTGGTCGCTTCGAAACTGATTATTCCGTTACCCCCAAAACTTCCCATTTCCCCTGCCTTGAGATGGCGACTTTCAGGTCTTGACGAAATTACTCTTGGTTACAAATATTCGTGGTGCTGTTCCAAACGTTCAAACCGGCTTCTTCAAGCACGAAGACAGCCAATACTGCTGTAGGGATTCCAGTAACTGAAAGGATGTAGAACGGCTCTGAAATTCCCAATAGTAGTCTCCAGATAACTTATCCTTGCCTGTCAACTTAGCTCATTCATTTCTCAGTCACCACTTCCGCTGCTCTCGACTTTCTTTTCAAGCAGGGGACGGCTTGTACAGCAGTGTCGATTACAAGTATTACAAGATGTTAGCCCCGGAGTCCAGACTATAATCTCCAATGTTGCCTATAACCGACGCACGGGCAAATAGAATGGATGAGACGCACGGTAGATAAATACCTCCTTCAGGATTACGTACAGGCCGTCCAGTGTCAACATTCAACGCCTAATCCTCGTATTCAAAGTTTATATGGTGTACTGCGTCTGAGTCAAATTCAAATTCATATGCGGCAGCCGTTTTCACTCGAGTCGTATTGACCATCGTTCATTTCATGTTTTCGCTCCATGTTTTCCGGCAACAACTGAACAAAAGTAAGATACGTACAAATTGCGTTTAGGCTGAGCTAAGTTATGTCATAAACTATTGCTCTGTAGAAACAGAAAAGCCTCTTGATCCAATCTTGATCAACTTTAGCACCTAACTGCTTTCCAAGTCGGATATGGTGTAAAGGCTAACATTGCCGCCTCTCATGGAGCTGGATATTTCATGCGCGGCAGCTCGGGGTTTGATTCCTCGTATCCGAATCTATGTTACTTGCCAGACTCCATTGTTTTTCTTTTGAATCGTGCGAGATGCACTGATGCCATGGCCCATGACCCATGAGTCCTGCAGGCTGGGACAAGAGCAGTACGCACTGAGCAGTGAGCACTCATTTCTCCCTTGTAGCGCCGACAAACGGCATTTTATCCTTGGTGAACTGGCTTCGATATCTGCTATGCTGATGTCGTACCCGACAGTTACATAGTCCACGATCTCATTCTCCAGCGCTGATATCAAGAAAGTACATGACTTGAGGATATATACTTATGGGAAAACTGGGCGACTTCGCTTCAAGGGTATGGTACATCGACTCCAATTCCTTGAATTCGGATTTCGTACATCCTCCATAACACGACCAGAGATGCATAGTGGCGAGAGACCAGGCCGGCGCTCGTCTGTTCGAGTGAGGCTTGCATTATGTGAAGATCAGCGCGTATCTGAGTTGGAGTGGTGGTGTAACCCAGGCCTGCTTCACTACGGTTCGGATACATAGCGGTTAAGATGGCCAGCCCGGGGTTCGAATCCTCGTGTCCGAAATGCGGAAGTTTCCTTTGAGCCTTTTCCCTGCGTTTGTTATAAAGAATTCGGAATGCGAACTCACAATAGGCGGTGTGGTTAGAGGGATTACTTATTTCTTTCTCGGGTGTCTTATTCACCTATGCCAGCACTTGTCAAGAAACGGGGTTTATGACTGAGTCTCTGTCCTTGTCTGTTAGGGAGACTTTGTTTTGAGCGAAGCCAATGCGTATCATAATCGTTGTCGGCCAAGTCTTCCGATACCCCATACAGTCCCTCTAAATAACAATATCTTCCTCTATATCCTGCGAACGTCCGCGGGCCGTCTTCTTGTCCTCCGTCCTAAGCTTCTTCTATTTGCAAGGGAGAACACAAGGCTTGAGATCGTCGGTGAATATGAAGAATTTTGCACGCCCGTTCTATCCTCACATGTAAAACAAGAGTGGGCTGCTAAGAGGCTAACGCGCGATGGAAAGGAAAAGAGTTGGCGGCGACGTTTTCTGCACGCGTTTGACGGTGGCCAGCGATATCGACGCGGGGTGTGGTGAACGGATAGGTTTTGACAACTCTATTTGAGTAGAGCCAGGAGCTTGAAGGCCGGATTGGTATGCGGATTGTAGACGAGGGAATGCGACCTGACCTGGACTAGGCTACGGACACGAAAAGGATAACACAGTTACAGTCAGGCAATGCAGAATAACCAACGAGACGACGGACTCACCAGAACACCGTGTTTCCGAGCTGTGCATACAAAGAGCATAACGAGGTTCCGCTCAACCAACGAGGTGCATCGTTCAAAAAGTTCGAAAACGGGAAATTCGTAGATATTCAGTGAATCCGGTGAGGTTTCCGATATCTTGGCGAAGATATACGGCAGTGAGCTTGCGCTACGGTTGAAGTTGAAGCTGTACGTGGAGTCTACGTATTAGATACGCGTGAGGACCAGATCTGAACTGACAGTCAGACAACTCAGAGTAACAAAAAAGCGACATGCACCCGCTTTGAAGAATACTCGACGGCTATCCTCAGTGACGCGAATCCTGCGTGTGAGGTTCAGAGGCGAAATCGAAGAGTTCTGCATAACGTAGCGATGCCTTGGCGCGATACTGATAAGGTCGTTGTGGTGAGAGAAATGGCCGCAATTGTTCCCACGATACCGGTCCGTCGTCCGATACCTCTCTTGAACACAACGTCCAGCTACTATAGCACTATGGGTCGCTCGCCCGCGCTGCCTCACAAGTAACCGACGTAGTCCCAAAGCGAATCGACGAACCTTTGAGCATCTATTTTACAGGCGTCTCGAAAGCAAAAACCCTCGATACCAGGTAGACTCGAACCACTCCCCAGCTCGGTTGATGACAGTCGATCAACTAGAGAATAGGGACTGGAACATAATGATCGTGGGCTGGCACGGTCAAAAAATTTCCCACGATTTTTTTGGATTTCGAAAACTTTGAGTCACCGATTTTGGATTCAAGTACATAGAATTGTGAGGATTAACAATACAAGATTCGTCATGTTTTTATTTTCTCGATAGCTGGACTGTAACTCCCGAAATAAATGGATTAGTGAAATAACCCCTATTGATTACCCTTTTCGGTCAGCGCCAGCGAAGCCCACGTCGCTCGACCATCGTTGCTCTCTGCTGCGTCAAACACGACCTTATCTCTCTCATGTCATTGACAAGCCCCTACACTGCTTATTCCTGCCGAGGAGCTCCCCTTTTAACTTATAGTTCCGTGTACAAGTTCCTGGACATTCTCCTAAATGCAATGCAATGTCTTTCGTTCCCGTCGCCTCGCCTGACCCCCAGAAGCTCAATGAAACTAGAAGAATTCTCTGTGAAGTGTTTAATGTGCCTGAACTCCGCTCTTTTCAGGACGAAGCCGGGCAAAACATGTTAAAAGGCTTGGATACCACTGGGGCGGGTAAGACTTTGTCATTTTTGTATGCGTTATTCTATCACTGGAGGCCTGGAGATATTCCAAACCCAAAGACAGACAAGATTATCCTGGTCCTGTCCCCACTTATCGGTCTTATGTGTGTGGACTGGAGCCTTGGAAGCTTCACTCTTCGGACAGGGAGTGTGAACGACACTTATAAGGCATGACACAGCTAGGAGGAGACGTAAATTGTGAATTAAAGGACTTCTAGACTGAATTCAGGAAAAATAAAAACATACAGCACTTTGTAATTTCTATCGCTATCACTGAGTATATTTACAGAGAGAAAGGAGAGATGAAGCTTGGGGGTCTAGGCGGGGTAAGAGAATAAATCGTGGGAAATTTTTTGACCATGCCAGCCCTCGATCATTATGCTCCAATCCCATCCGCCTGCCCGAGTTGATCGATTGTCATCAACTGGCGGTGGGACTGGTTCGAGTCTAGATACCAGGCTGGCGCATGTCCCTTACCCTCGCAAGGGAATAGGCCAAGGACGTCTGCCATGCAGATAAACTAGGCGGCATCAAACGTATCCTTAAACCTGAATTTAGACGCATTCGCGCACAAGGGCTTTCACTCCAGGATCATCATTTTGCTAGACCCTGGACATGACATGGAATTTTGCGAGGAGCCGTTTCACCCAGAGGTAAACGTTGAACGTTGAACTCGGACGACCTTCGTGCCAGGGTTATAGTCGGGTGGATCCAAAATCAAAGGTCCTTAATCGGCAGTGGCAGAGGTTGGCTGAAGAACGAGATCTCCTACTGAGGGAAGTATTGAACCTCATTGTAAGTACGTCGTCGTCTACTCTGCGCTGTACTGAGCATCTAATAGCACAACCATCCCCTACTACCGTTATGCACCAACTTCCCATGATGACCCTCAAATTAATCTGACAACCGCAGGTGTCAGGAGGAACACAGCGACCAGCCCAGAGTCCTATTCACGCCGTGCCAGGTATGGAGCATACCAGCTCTATCCTGTTCAGTTTTGTAGAGGAAACAGGGAGAAACACTCTCGTGGGCTCTCGGGTCTGGGTGCGATTTTGGGTCCTGGGTGTTGCTTTTAACGTGTTGTATATCGAGAGTGCACCAGGAGGGCCCTATATCATCCGGATATGGCGTAACGGATGATGTCGCTGCTACTTCTTGGAGTTCGATTCCCCAAATCTGGATGTGCCTACCAAGTGCCAGCCTGCGTTATTTTTTGTACTTATTTCTCTACACCCAGTTGAAGATCGCTGTATCGTCACCGGGGGCATTCGACAAGCGTCCTTGGTGCGCAGCAACATCGCTACTTCTGGTAAGCAACTGTTTCGGGTCCGACAAAAACTGGGAAAATCGGATCGGATTCGCGGTCGCAAACTTTCCCTTTAATAGACCCGATCGGGCACGTAGAATTTTGCGTTTTCCCCTTGCGAGTTTCCGTTTGCATTTGCATTTGCGTTCATATGCACGCGTTTGAATAAATTGTATTTGTGTTCGATCAAATGCATTTGCGTTTCTCAGTGTGACATCATTTGTGTGCATGACATGATCGACTCTCTCGAGTTTTTGATGCCTATCCTGAGTCTGAAAGTATACTAGACCTGTGCATTGTGTGTTGTAAATCCAGTTTCAACACGTAGAAACGTCGATGATAGTGAGAACGGCAATACGTTACGGTACAGCCACCATGATCACAAGCTGATCGGGCATCTGAGAACCTCATTCATTGGAATTCAATTCCGAAATCGAGAAGGCGCTTTATCTACATTGAAAAGTCCTGGCGCAACTCATCAGCAATCCAAACGAGGTAGACGACGCCCTGGTACCAGCCAAAGTATGGCTGAACTCGCTGAAAAAGCAACCTCTCGTCATACATTGGACTGGAAGCCTTACACTTAACGATCTTGCAAGAATCAACAACTACTTCTTCCGCCGTGTTCTAAAGTTCAGCAAAGAGTATCCACTAGACTGGGCAGCTGGTCTTGCTATGTCGCATGCACGAACAATTGTCGTTGCATACAGACATCGAGAACTGTTCTTACAGGATGAAGAGTGTCCTCCCGCGTCTGAAAGCGAGAGCGTTGGTCGTTTTGCTATCGAAAAGGGTTGGGAGCGATTGGTTGATTTTACTGGGCGCACTACAGATGGGAAAATAAAGCCTGAAGTAGTGGATGTTGACATGGAAGCTCTTGTCTTACTGGAGAAGAGAATGTTCGATACATCGGAGGATGCAGGATTTGCAGGCAACAATCAATGGGGATTAGACATTGGTATGCACCAGGATAATTGGTATCCTTGGAACAGCCCTAGACCGGAGGATGAGAAGGATACTCGTGAAGGAAACGAGTCAGAACTCGATGTAAGCTTCCATGACTTAAATTTAGCATAGCCGGACTGAATTCTTACAGGTAGGGCCGGAGTTCGACAAGGAAGAGCTGGCGAAATGACACAGAATCGAACTAGAGAAAGAAGAGGCAAGGAAAGAAATGCAAAAGGCAACACGCCCAAGACCTACATTGCTGAGAAAGGGTACGAGAA